CAGCTGACTGTGCGTGTGATCAACTCCTGATCAACTCATGACTAAAATTAGTACATGACGTCATAGTTTAAATGGCTGGGGTATCTGCACATGCGCAGTAAAAGAATAACACTTTCCAAAATGGCGGAGATGGAAAATATCCACGGCTCGTGGAAGGTAAATGCATATAAGCAAATGTCTGTCGGTCTCGAAACTTCATTTTCATTTCATTTGATTGCGTTTAAATGATGCTTATGGTGTAATTATTTCAGGTCGCTGATGTGAAAACTCTGTCAGCGGTTGCCGATGGTTTAGAGTCGAGTGGTTTGCAAGGGTAAGTATCTCAGTCCCATTGAAACACAACGCCTGCCGACAACTGCGTTTCAGTTTACTGTTATTCGAGTGGAAGCTGTCGAGTTGTCCATAAGTAACGATTTTATTGCGTGTGAGTTGCCGCTGAGACTTGTGTTCGGTGGCACACAGTTACTAACTTTGGGTGGCACAAATGGGCGTTTAATGTCACCCTGTGCAGTTGGATCAGATGACTAGTCACTACCTATCCGAGATGTGCGTCATACCCCTCCCCCTTACCCCTTATATTAAACTTCACCATGTAAAGTGCCGTGACGTGAACAAAGATGTGTTCGTACAGTTGCTGACACATTTACTAACAAAACATACTAGTGTTAGTTCTACTACAGACCAGACTGGCAGCAATTCAAGACGTGTCAATATATTCTGAATCATAAATTTAATTGCATGGGTTGATTGCATTAATATAAATAATTATTGCAATTTTAGCAGACTCTATTAAAAAATAGTATCAGATACAGAACCGATAAAATATCATTGGGTTTTGTTGTGCTTGACAAATGTTAACTAAATTGTTATGACATTCATGTTATGAATAATACCTGATTCTGATAGTATGCACCAGGGTATAACAAAATAATGTTACAGATCCAGGGGCATGTATTGTTTAACACTCACAACCCAACAACCGCTTCTTAAAGACTATGCTTACATCAACCAACCATCAAAACTATCAGTTCATGTTTATGAAAATTAAAAAGTCTTGTTGTTTTTTGTTGTTTTTTTGCTATGCATTTTTTTTTTTTTTTTACAGAACTGACTTGACGTTTGATGACTCTGGTGAAGTGACTTGGAAAGTTCCGCATAATTCGGAAACCATTCCATCTTTTGTTACTAACTTCGAAATTTATGAGGTGAGATGAATTAATTTTTTATTATGAGTCAAAGTTTAGCCTAAGGTATGCTGACAGGGAAGTAATGCAGGAAGGGGTGTTTTAGCTTGCCAATAATGTTAGCAAAGGAGAGGGGGGAATTTTTATATTGTCTTTTGATTGGTAACTGTTTCTTGTGGTTACACTAAGCAATTTTAATCCGATAATCTTTAAACTTGAATATCCATCAATCATCATGAAGTACATGTATCAACCAAGTTCAATTTTGGTGTGACTAACTTGAAATTGTCTAATATTCAAGATATACATTTGGCTAAAAATAATTAAACATTT